GTATGGGGGGTGGTTTAAGCTAGTTGAAAGCATGTATTAAACTACAATAGGATTTCAAGATATTTCTGATCTTGCCTGGGCTTTTTTTTCCTTCACTTCATTTCCTCCGATTTAGAAACAGATTTTACCACCCGTGCTGAATGCCAAACCAATTCCACAAAAACATTCTATACAAAAAATATAGTACTTCAAAGGTGACATTTTTGAGCCAAAAAAATTTAGCTTAATTTTCCCTAATATTTTTTTCTTTTTCTTTTTTTTTCGGCTCACATTTTGCTTAATTCTACTTTATTTATTGCGTTCAATTCAAGAGTGTACCTATATGTATCCTTAGTTGTCTGTTTGTGTGTCAAGCTGCTTAGAACTTACCGGGACTCGAACTCGGGCCGGTGGTGATATGGTGTTATTGCTGACAAGTAACCCCTTTACTCACTCAGCTACCACCGGCGCCGAGATGAGAGCGTCTAGGGGTTCCCTTAAACCTCACCTACTGGGTTTTTGGGAAAAGTTCCACTGTTATGATTCCCAAGTTATAATTCTCGGCCAACTACTTCGATTGTCGATTATCGATATGGGTCTAGTGTTGGTAGGGTTGTATCGTCCAGTCCTAATTATCGAATCGTAGTAATAAGTGTCAAATCTGTTTAGGCTTTCTATCCGAATTTTTCACAGTCCTGAGTAGCCTAGAGGTTAGAACATCTAACTCTCGCTCCATAGTATGGGGGTTCAAACCTCAGCTCAAATTTTTTTTTCCTTTTCTTTGGTTTTTGATTTTGTCATGATTATCTTTTTTGTAATATTAGAGCACTCGTCATATGTACTAAAATTTTCAGATTATTATATATTTCTCTATTTCTGTGTCCTCAGACCAACTCAAAAACGCATGGGGGGTGGTTTAAGCTAGTTGAAAGCATGTATTAAACTACAATAGGATTTCAAGATATTTCTGATATTGCCTGGTCTTTTTTTTCCTTCACTTCATTTCCTCCGATTTAGAAACAGATTTTACCACCCGTGCTGAATGCCAAACCAATTCCACAAAAACATTCTATACAAAAAATATAGTACTTCAAAGGTGACATTTTTGAGCCAAAAAAATCTAGCTTAATTTTCCCTAATATTTTTTTTCTTTTTCTTTTTCTTTTTTTTCGGCTCACATTTTGCTTAATTCTACTTTATTTATTGTGTTCAATTCAAGAGTGTACCTATATGTATCCTTAGTTGTCTGTTTGTGTGTCAAGCTGCTTAGAACTTACCGGGATTCGAACTCGGGCCGGTGGTGATATGGTGTTATTGCTGACAAGTAACCCCTTTACTCACTCAGCTACCACCGGCGCCGAGATGAGAGCGTCTAGGGGTTCTCTTAAACCGCACCTACTGGGTTTTTGGGAAAAGTTCCACTCTGTTCTGATTCCCAAGTTATAATTCTCGGTTATCGATTGTCGATTATCGATATGGGTCTAGTGTTGGTAGGGTTGTATCGTCCAGTCCTAATTATCGAATCGTATTAATAAGTGTCAAATCTGTTTAGGCTTTCTATCCGAATTTTTCACAGTCCTGAGTAACCTAGAGGTTAGGTTAGGTTATGTTAGGTTAGGGCGGTTGTCGGACTATAGTCCGACACACTTAGACCTCAATGGGTACATTGTGATACCGCATGATCTCGTTTTTCCTTCTCTAGGGTCCCGTTTCTAGTAGTTTCAGCCTGTGTTAAGCTGATCAGCATGTCTTCCACCCGGAAGATTAATTAAAGGCACTTATGTTTTTGAGATTAATCTCCGATAATCTGCATAGGGCTGGGCAGAAGCAGAGAAGGTGTTCTACCGTTTCCACTTCTTCCTCATCCCTACAGCTTCTGCAGGAATCATTTTGCGGGGCTTTTAGCCTGCCGGCATGTGCGCCAACAAGCCAGTGGCCTGTAAGAGCTCGAATCAACATGCCACACTCTGTGCGGCTGAGTTTGAGTAACTCCGAGGTTTTTTTGTTGTTTATCACAGGCCATGTCTGGTGAGAGATGCGACACTGTGGTGCGTTTTGCCAATGGGTGTTGGCTAGTGTGTTGAAGTAGTTTTTTATGTTTAGCTTGCAAGTAGCCATGGGCATACCGACATTCTCCTCTCCTGGGAGGAGAGGCTTGGTGGTGCCCTGCCTGGCTAATTCGTCCGCTGTGCAGTTGCCTACGATGTCCCGGTGACCCGGAACCCATATTAGGCTGATAGTAAACTGATTTGCCATCTCGTGGAGAGATCTGCGACAGTCTGCTATTGTACGGAGTTGGTGTTTGTCGAGTAGATCGATTTAATAGCCGCTTGGCTGTCACTATATATGTTTAGGTGTCCTCTCTGGAGGCTAAAGTTCCCTAAACAGGTTAGTGCTTCTTTTATAGCGTGGACCTCCGCCTGAAAGACGCTACAGTGGTCCGGGAGCCTGAATGACTTCCTGATATCTAATTGTTCGAAATATTCACCTCCGCCAACGTGTCCTTCTAATTTGGAGCCATCTGTATAGAAACAAATTGCGTCCGTCGTGCCCGGTCGGCCCTGTTCCCATTCCTCTCTATCAGGAATCAGGGCCTCAAAGGGTGTGTGACTGCATTCAATGGATTTGCATAGATCCGTGATCTTCGGAATCGATTTATCATGCTGCTTATCAAGATCGCAGTCAGCGCTTCATTCGGGGTGGTTCGAAGGGCTCCACTAATACACAAAGCCGCCATTCGCTGTACTTTGTTTAGAGGAGTCAGTATGCATTGTTTGTGTAAGGCGGTCCACCACAGAGCCACTCCGTACAGTAGGATTGGCTTGACTACCGCTGTGTATATCCAGTTGACTATTCTTGGGGACATGCCCCATCTTAGCCCGATTGCTTTTTTACAGGAGTAAAGTGCAATGGTCGCTTTTTTGGTTCTCTCTTGGTTGTTTAAGCCCCATTTGAGGCGCTTATCTAGTACTAGCCCAAAGTACCTGGCGTGATCGCTAAAAGAAAGATTACAATTGTTTAGAATGGTTTAGGCTTATGGCCTTAAACCCTTTGCTGTGGTGAGTGGCCTTCCCTGCCTTGGGAATGAAAACCACCTTTGTTTCTTGCCATGCTGTTGGTAGTTCTCCTACCGCCAGGATGGATTGGAAGATTTTTTTCAACCAGTTTATGGCTATTTGTCCTGCTTGTTGGATGTGAGCCGGTGTTATCCCGTCCGGTCCCGGCGGTTTTTATGGTTTAGAACTATGAATGGACCATTTCATGTTGCGGTCTGATAGGAGTGGATCTAATGCGATTCCCTCTCCTGCTCCTCTTTCAGGAGGATGGCCTGCTTGTTGGCTCCCCGGGAAGTGAGCGTCTAGGAGCAGGTCCAAGGACTCTTTACTGGAGTCTGACCATGATCCATTTGCTTTTTGAAGATAGCCCAAAGGCGCGGCTGTCTTGGAGAGTATTTTCCTGAGCCTTACGGCATCAGTTGTTTTTTCTATGTCAGAGCAGAAGGTCTGCCATGCCGTTCGTTTTGCTCTTCTAATTGCCTTTTTATAATAGGCTAGTTCATACTTGTAGTTCAACCAATTAGTGTCCTCATTTCCCGCATTTGCTCTGTTAAACAGGCATCTGCAGTTGGTTCTGAGGATTGATAGTTGTTGTTTAATATAGTTTATTTATTTTATCGAACGTATTATAATTTTTCGTCACAAATGTTGATATCTCCAATTTTTGTTAAAGGCGATTTCGTTACTACTATTTTCCTCGTTAAGAGGTGTTTTTGTTTGATATCAGAATTTTTTTTGCACAAGAGTTTAAGTACCCCAATACCATGACTAGGAGTCGTCCCCATATGGCTTGGCTATTGAAAAACCAAACACACAGATTCAACCCCTAATCTTAGCTGAACGCCACCTTAAATAAGTTAAATAAATAAATAAGTTAAATAAAATTAAAATAAGTCCCAATACCTGCAAAAGTAATATATATACATATGTGCATTTGTATACACCTTTTGCTTGGATACTAAAACATAATAAGTCCATAATATTTGCCGGATGTTCTGAAAGTACAAAGTAATCATTTGAGAAGTATTTGCTTATTTCTGAAATGGTTCCTTTATTTTCCTGAAATAGTTTTTTTTTATCCTAGGACACATAATTGTTACTTAGCTACTAAAGTGTTCTAAGAATTGTAAGAAGTTTTTCTTTCATTAGTTTTAAGTAAATAAATATAGAACTCTAAAAAATAAAGACTATAATAAACTTTCATGTTCCACTTTATTCTAAAAAGGAATGGGCTGTTTACATTCACATTCTAATAAGAATGAAACATAATATGAATATTAAACTTTTTAATAACAAGTTTTATCGCTTCAATTACCTATTTTAATAGCACAAGTTTGGAATCTCAAGGGCTGTATAGTTTCAGATTCAAAGAGAAATCTATCGTTTCTTACGTTTCCCGCCGAACTAGCGGGTTTTTACAAAGTGGTAGAACAAATAGATCAAGTTTCCTATTTCGATAACCATAACAGATTTTCTGTTAAAAAAAATCGAATAAGAATATCTTTCATCAAATTGGTTTTTTTCTTGTTTATTCCAATAAGTATGAAATATTACGTATACGGAGCTGAAACGAGTTGCACTTCTTATCGCTTAATATCTTCCAAACGGTAATTTTTAGGGTAAAAAGTGTTATATGTCAAAAGTTGAGGAATCTCAAGGGCTATATGAAAAAATAGTCAAAAAGTGATTTTAAAAAATAACTTATTATCATAACTCTAATCTATTATATTCAGACAATTTTACTACATGAAGAGTATTTAGCAAATGATTATCTTTTCAGAGATATATAACACGTTTCTGTAGCATTAGTTGTTTAGATACTAAAAGCATTTTAAATCTTTTTTTTTTTTGATTTTCCGCTAAACTAGCGGGTTTTTCCAAAAGTCGTAGAACAAACGTTTTCTATTTCAAGCTACTTTATACACCCATAGGGTTTCCAAAACCCTAACTTTAAGATGGGATGCATACAAACCCACAAACAAAGGGACAAACATTTTTATTTTGGGAAAAAGAAAACCTTGTTTTTTGAGTTACTTTTAAACGGAACATCGGATTTCAACAAGTGAGGTGTCATTCGACGCGTATTCTCAGTAAGAATAAAACTAGCCAAACAGCCGGCGGCTTTTATCCAGCAGCTCCAATTTTCTAAATTTTTACTTTTACACTTTCACCGCTTTTTCTCCCAAACAAATCTATTTTTCGAAAGTCTTAGTATCAATCTTCTTAGTTTTTGCAATACCTTTCGATTGGTGTATCACTCGTTACGATCGGACCATAATGGCAGATTTTCAATTCTGCGGCTATATATAGTATTTGTCTTCGCACGCTCTCTTGCGCGCTTCGGCACTACGTGTACTGCCGTCCACAGTGATGCTTGTCTAATAGATTTTATTTTATCAACTGGAGCTATGTAAATTTTAACAGAATAAGAACTCAAATAAAATTTAACAACAGAACCACAATGTGAATGAAATCAGTTACTTGAAAAATACAGATCCCCTATTTCTTTTTCGTATGGCGCTCTTTCTCCACGCGTTTTAGAATATCATCCATATTGGTGATTAACCTCTCCAGAATTTCCTCCAACAAACCGACACGATTATTCAGGCTAAATGGGAAATAGTTAACAAGGCTCTTGATGCATAAATTCCGAGTTCTTACCGAACCATATCATGGTTTTCTCCTGGTGGAATATCCTGAAAGTATCGTTGTCTAAAAAAAGGTTATTAGAAAAGTTTTAAAATAATACAGGAATGCAAACTGAATTACTCTGCAGGTGTCATGTTCTTTCTCATCTCCTGGGGCTCTTCCTGGGCGGCGTTAGCATCCTGTTCCGCCTCCTTATCGTCCTCGTCGGTTCTCTGGGGTTGAGGTCGCCTCTTTCGCCCACAGTGGGTGATCCAGTAGAGCATACCCGCCAGTTTCCTATAGATGTAGGAGCCCAAGTGACTGCGCCCTTGGGTGATTTCACCTTTCACCGTGTTATAGGTCTCCATAATAATGGCCAGGAACATGTTCTAAATAATAAATGTATTAAAACGTTTAAAAAAACATAATAGAACACATCCCGAAAAACTTACCAACAAAATGAAAAACACCAGCAGGATATAGGTGAGGAAATAAATGGGACCCAGGACTCGATTTGCTTGCTCAATGAGATTATACTGGAAATCTCCCAGAATCATCCTTATCATGGTCAAAATGGAGGTTATGAAATTACGGAAGTCCGGGTGCTTAGTGCCAAACAAAAGAAGACCCAACTGGGCATAGGCCAGAAAGACGATGCCAAACATTAAACTGAAGCCGGCCAAGTCCTTAGAGCACTAAAGTGGAAGATTTACACATCAGAAATAATGTCTATGCCTTTTGTAAAATGACAAACCCTTTTCAGTGTCGTAGTAAACTGGACGAGTGTTTTGTTGAAACTGATGAACTTAAATATTTTTATCCACACGAGAAAGGCCAAGATGGCCATCATATCCACATAAATAATGTTCCAGAAGCAAAGAACATCCAGACTTTGATAGGTCAATTCGACTTGGGCTTTGGATGTGACGGATATTACTTTAAAAGTGTGCCAGATATTGTACACTAAAGCAAGGTAACAACCCTGAAAAATGTTAAGTTCTAACAAATTATTTTCCTTAAACAAATAAGATTTGATTACCAGCAATATAACACAATCAAGAATGTTTAACATGGAAAAGAAGTAAATTTTGACTCCTGATTTGCGCATTTCAGTGATTTCATAAATAGTGTAGTAAATAATCATAATATACCAGAAGATATATATTACAGTCATAACCATGCTGCGATCCGTGAAGAAAGAATACATCTTTACCGTTTGCAAGTGGGCCTGTGGTATAACACCACCTGTTGGTGGAATTTCGGCTATTAACCTAAGGATAAATTATTATAGAGTAAAATTCGGATAGAGTAAAACTCTCAACCCACTTGACACTTTGAAAAATGTCCGTGTTTTCGTTAAACAAATTAAACTCCACCAGACAGAGTCGCGAGCCTCTGTCTAGCCAGTGAATGTCCTTCAGATCGCTGATGGTCTTCAGGTTTCTGTCTTTGTCGTAATCCAAGTTCACCGTATACCCGCCGGTGCGGTAAAAAGCAAGTACTGTCCAGATGGGCGTAGAATCAAGATCGTTCATGGTCCGGTATGGCGAGCCCTTGTACATCGCCTTGCGCTCCTCCGCTCCGGAGGAATAAGCCGCATAGCAGGTGTTGAAGTACCGGATAAAGGCGTCGTTCACGTAGCAGCTCTCCTTCCGCACACGAATCTGCCGAAGACGAGGCGGACCCAAGAGTAGGTTCTCGTATAAGAAGACGCGTCCCTGGAAAGAGAATATTTTGTAATCACATGGTTCAAGACCGAAATGATTAATAACTTAGCTTAGTGCTCACAGCTACAAAGCTATTAGAGTACTACCAAACCTTATCCTTATATGCAACCCCAAATCCATTGTTTAACATACCTCCAAATGATGTGAAGTCGTATTGCTGAATGCGGGGCCTTGTTCTGCTTGGCTGTCGACCCTTTCACTGCCGTCCTCGACGGCCTGCCGTATAACTCTGCTGCGCGCCTCCCAATCTTCGTTCGGACTCCCTCGATATCGGAAACCCTCTTGCAACCTGCCTACCTCAGGCGATTCCTCTGACAACTCTTCTGGCGATTCTTCTGGGAACTCCTCTGGCGATTCCTCGTCCGATGTTTTCGTTGGTGGCCCCTTTCCCGTACTATTAACCGTTGGTTGGCCGTCCAAAAAAGTCATATCGCCGTGGAGTGTTATCAGAAAGTTATATATCAGGTAGTCCCACCAATCCGGCACAGTTATCAGCTTTTCAAAACAAACGGTGACCGAAGGTGCCACAACCAATTCTCGTGTCGTAAAGAGTTTCTTCATCGTGTCGTTGAAGTAGAACATATATGAGTGACGGACAGACAAAACGACTGTGGATGAATTCGGGATAATATTAGAAAGGACCTAAAGAAGTTTTCCCTATGAAGTGGGAAAAAAAGAACGTCAACAAACGTAAATCGTTCGCATGATGTCTTAAATTTACTGTGGCGATAGAAATATCTACATGTCCTTTAATTTAGTGCGAAAGTTATTCCTAAAAACTTTTGGGACTATAGGTTCTACTTACCTAGTGATGTTAGGATCAGAAAAATGATGAAGACGGAAAACTCGATGAGGGCTTCGCGCACCTCTTCATCGGTGGTGTAGAGGATGCGGTTGGTTTTGGCCCTGTTCTGTAGTCCCGAAGGCCCCGATATTGAAGGAGCCCTTTGCTCACGGGTTGCTGGCGACGACGTTTCCGGGCTCTCGTTGTTCTTCTTCCTCTTAAATATGTTCAGTCTATCCCTCAGAGAAGGCTTTGCTGGCTCGGGTTCGGAGGCTGCTGGCTTGGCGGCCTTGGCCACTGCCGATGGTCCAGCTTTGGCAGCTGCCGATGGTCCAGCCTTGGCAGATTCCTGAAAAGTTATCCGAGTAGCAGCATCAACGCTCGATCGCCTTGTTCCGGGATCCTGAGTACTACCTCGGCGAAGGGTCGCTGCACCAGAATCTGGGAAACTTACCCGAGGAGATGACGAAGGACCTGCATCGCGAACAGTTGTCTTGGCAGATGTCGCCGCACCGGAACCCTGAAGACTGGGTCGAGGAGTTTCCTTTACCGGTTTTTCAGGGGATGACGATGGGCCAGGATCGCGAACACTTGTCCTAGGCGATGACGATGGGGCGGGGTCTCTTGTCGGAGAATCTGCTGTCGAAGGTGGGGCCGTACGGGCAGCCCTGCTGGAAGCCGGCTTATCCGTTCCCATACCTATAGAGACGCGTTTTGTGGCCGGTGGGGGCGGAGGCCCTCGAGCAGGAGTCACATCGCCTGGAGTGACAACCACTGGAGTTCCACGCGGCGATGTACTCGGGGGCGTTTTCGGTGGACGGGGCGGAGGAGGTCCTGGCGGTCCTCCCCCGGGCCTTCCTCCCTGGCCCTGCTGGGCCATTTTCAATGTAAGTTTTTATTTGCTTGCAAGTTTTTAACGTTGAAAAAATTAATGTTTCAAGTTTCACGTTCTAGCGCAGACTGAATAATGTTGTGAGCTGACCTCAACGACAGGCACATATCTTGAAGTTTAAAGAATGCTTACTTGGACCAATGTTCAGTTACAGGGCAGCTAGCTCTAATTTTTCTAACCGAACCTGGCTGCTTTTGGTAGTGGAAAGTCGAAAACTCTCTTAAAAAATATTTATTATTGTCCAACAATGCATTTCCAAGTAAAGCTTGACTTAGCTAATATTGAAATGTTTTTATAAATTTTGTTTTATTTTGATTCGGCGATTTAAGTCCAAAATGCATTAAAAAAAATAATAACCTTTGATTGGGAGCTGTTTATTCTTATTAAGAAAATAATACAAAATATTTCTTTATTGAAAATGTACGTCCAGTCTTTCATATTATTTTAATGGTAGTTCTAGCTAGTTTTATTTAATCCTTAGCTGGCAGTTCTGTTCTCAGGTAGCACGGTGAAAAAAGAAGATCCAGACAACAGCTGCACATTCGGCGATTCCAAGCATATGCATATTTCATGCGTTAACGCCAACATTTGAATTGCAGCAGGGGAAGGAATGGAGTGCAAGGACTCCCAGCCAGCGCAGGATGCTTTTGATTTATGGCAGTCGTTGTTGGATTCCCGCCCCACTGGCACTCCCACATCCTGGCCTGCCTCCTGGTCCGCAGCTATCAGCGCCAGTTGAGTTGTCAGTTGGCGCATAAAGAATGCATGTACAATAGCGCAAATGTGATAAGATCCCTCTCAACGAACACATCTTGGGTTCCTGGGAGGACGGAACTAGCTGCGGGATGCATAGTGACTTTCTTTAAGGCGATTTCAGAGGCTCAGCCGAATGCTGCATTTTAAGCCAGATACCAATTCCCTTCCGAACGTCCTGCAGGCCTTCAAAGGGAACTCATTCTTTTACAATTTGGTCTTTTTTGATATTTTTCCCTGAGGTCGAGTATTTACCACATTGCAAACGTTTTCTAGGCAGAAATATTATTCTATAAAAATAAGTTTTAGGGTTTTAAGGGTTTCAGTATAAGTTTTAAACAAAAGTAAATTGTTACCAAAAAAGTTTTTAAAATATTTAAACTGCAAAACAATTGTACCTACCTTTTTGCTTAAAGCCGATTTATAGTTACTTTACGTGCACTGCTGCTTAATTTTAAAGAGTTTTATATAAAATATATCGTTTTAGGAATCTTGTTGCTATCGACTTCAAAATTACTTTCATCTAAAACCCTTCCCAGAACTACAAAAACAACTTCATTTAATTGTTTAAATGTTTATTATATTATTTGTAAATCTTTGAAACCACTTGATTTGCTTCATTTGTTTAAACCTTTCGATAAAACATTAATTCAATTACAGGCTAAATGGTTTATATTTTAATTTTACTGACTTTTATTTAATTTAGTATCGCCCTCTAACATCAAGTGCAATTTAAGTACAAATTGGACAACATTTTGATTTGCTTTATGCTTGCTTCTTATGCACATAGTTTAAATTAATGAATAGATACTCGGTTTGAAGTTAGAAGCCAAACCAAAATTGAAACAATTTCTGATATTTAATCAGCTTTATTTTCTTTTAGCTAGATAAATAAGTTCATTGTTTTTCACCTGGGATTTCAACAGTTTTGTTATGTATTAGTTATTTTATTCTTAGCTTTCCCTTTGAATGTTTCTCCCTACGAACGGAATTTCGAATGTTTTTCGTTTGTTTTTGCCCTACTGTATTGTATTTATATACTTATTTCCTTAACTTTTACCTAGATATTAATTTTCTAAGTTGTATCATTTGATAGTGCAAAAATTAGATTTCCTCTTCTGTATTGGTTTTTGTTTTCATTATATTTGCTTAACTATTTGGCTTTGAAAAATACTTTGGCGCTGCAGCGCAGCTTACAATTTCTGTATTCTGTTTTGGTTTTATTTTGTTTGTAGGATGTGTTTGCCGACCACGTTGAATAGTTAGATAGATTTCATGAAAATGGTTGATGGTTTTCAGCAAATGTGATTACAAGAAGGATGCAACTTTTAAGCTACTTCTTTGGTAGGGTTGATTTTTGCGGTTAGTTTTTTGTGCACTCGAGAACTTTATTTGTAAGCTTTCTATTTATCTTTAGTTTTGTGTTCACTTATCAGATACATTTTTGTAATTGGTCCTTTGGTTTCAGAACGTTGCTTAAAGGCACAATTGTTTAAACTAGTTTCATCCATTGATTGTGAATTGTGGGTTGCCGGGTGCCTTGGCCACGCCCATTTAGGCCATACCAGCCCCTTTAGCTGCCTAGTACGGCTTCGCCGCATCCTTGGAACGTTTCAGTTGGACCTTCAGCCGCTTGGTGCCGATCTGAAAGCCATGCATCGCCTGGATGGCCGCGTTGGCCGAATGTGGGTTGTCGTAGGACACAAAGCCGAAGCACTTCGACAGGTTGGTCTGCTTATCGATGAACACCTTGGCCGAAAGGACGTTGCCGAAGGGCAGAAATGTCGACGCGAGATCTGTGTCAATGAACTCCTGAGGTAGGTGATAAATGAACAGATTGCTGCCATCGGGACCTAATTGGGGAAATGACAAAATATTTAATGGGAGCCATGTTTTATTTACTTGGATATTAATACTTAAAGGTCTAAAATATTGCCAATAATACATTATAATATAAAATCTATTCTTTGTTTTATACAACATGTGATATTAAGTAAGTAAGTTGTAACGTGCTCGTTAATAATGTTGGACAATATTTACTTTAGTTATAGACAGTAAATATTTAATGCTTCATTAAGCAAAACACATTTTTAATATCTTAACTAAATCAGACGAAATCAATAAAAAATACTGACTTTCGCATTATATTATTTTGTAATATAACAAGTCTTGGAAAGTTTCGTTAATTGTTAAAAGATGGGTTGTTTGACTTATAGTCATCGTTAATATAAGGTATGCGATGTTTTATTTTTATAATTATTTATTTTTGGAAAATATATAGACAAAACAATATAAGGCAATAAATATTAATGCTTGATTAAATAAATAGATTTTAAATATCCTATCTAATAAGTCGAAAACAATACAAAAAGATACTGACTTTTGAACTTTAGTATTTTGCAATAACACTAGTCTTGGAAAGTTTCTTAAACTGTACAACGATTTGTTGTTTGACTTATAGTCATCGTCAATGTAAGGTTTTCGATATTTTTTTTATTATTTAGTTTGGAAATATACAAAACAAATAATTTTTAAAATTTATTTTAGCTTACCCTCAATCTGTTTGCCAGCCACGCCCGCAGCGGCCGCTTGAAGGGCGCTGGCAGTCAGGGGTTGGGATGCGGTTCCGTAGGCGGCTCCATTTGTCAGTCCACTCAGGGAGGATGAATAGGGGTCAGCAGCATTTTGAGGCCCTAAAATGTTGGAGGTGTTATTTAAAATTATTGACTAAAGATACATTTTAGCCAAATTAAAATAATGTAAAGTATTGATAAACTCTATCTTAAATTTGTATTTTCCATTGAACAAATTACCAAGAACAAACACTCACAAGAAGGGACAAGGACAAGTACACACATACATACACACAGTGGGACACAGAGATACACGCAGAGAAACATACTTATATTCAAACAAACACGAACCCCATATCTGAACAATAAACGAACCCAAGTTGAGTTAACGCATATGAGATTTCGCCCCTTTATTTATGATTATTTTTAGTCTTCCTCTTCACACTTTGTGCTCATCCATTTTATGCGCCCTTTTATGACTTTTTTGTGGCTCTCGTCCTTTCATTATTACATTTTATTTTGATTTTTTCCCTTTGTTTGTATATCACCAAAAAATTTGTTAGCCTTTGTTGTTCGGGTTTCCCGCGTGGCGCCAGTTTTTTAATTGAGCCTGCCAGCCCTGAACCCAACATTTTCCTGGCGCCCTGCAGTTCGCTTTGTGCATTGCCCAAAATTGTTGTTCTTTTTGCATAATCTACTATAAATTTATTACTTTCTTTTGGTTTTTAATTTTCTTTTATTGCATTTGTGCGGGCATTTTTTGTATGCACCGAAAAGTATATTTCCGAAATTTAGTGCTTACCATTTTGCATGTGTAAGTTTTAGAACAAATTTAATTTTAATGCTCGCGGAATCCAAAAAAGTTACTAATTGAAAAGCTAATTGTAATCGGGGATATGGAAAAATGTTTGCAAATTTTCCCAACTTTGGATGATTTATTTGGTTTTACTCGAATAATTTAAGGACTTTTATTGTTATGTAGAGCAAATTTTGCATTTGTAAATTTAAACAGTGGGATTGGGGCTATTCCTCTAATTTCTGTAAAGTTCTATCCGGACCAAACAGGACCTAAACGTTCCCTTTCTCTCACGTAACAATTTTGAATGAAATCCTATTGCTCAGATATTTTCTTATATCGAATTTCGAATAAGCTTCGCAGTCGCCACATTTAAAAATTCCTTTGCATGTGGTATTTAATATACAAAGACCGTGCTCGAAGTACTTTTAGGCTAACTCCTATTCCATCCAATATCTTCTTGACGCTTCAAATTTTCCCTTTCATATTTTTACCATATTTTCCGCTTTCATGTTGTTTTATTAAAATTTCTTTTTTCTTCCAATGCAATCAAGAACGTATTGTATGGAATGCCATTTATTTATTGTTGTCAGTAACAAGGATTTGATTCTTTTTCCCCGTTCGCTACCATTTTCCTGTTTTTATCAATTTAACTTCGGTTTGTTTGTTCAAAAAAGTTTATTTTTTATTGACAGAGATGGGCAGAATGTGAAAATAAAAACATCAAAAAGTAAAACGACTATGTGAAATTAGAAATGTTCACACAGAGATGCAACTCGGTTATGCCAGCAGCAAATTTTAATCAACTGCTGGGAAGTTGAAGAGTTCAATAATAGGAAATATATATATTTCACCGAAATTGTTTAGGTGACTAAAAATAAAAAACCTGTATTGTATATTTCGTCACAATATGGCAGAATCATTTATAAATAATA